CGGCGGAAGAAAGACACGCTGGCCAGCCGACATACTTCCAACAAGACTCTGGGATTTGCAAAGAACCACAAGACTGGACCGAAACGTTGGTGGATTACGAACATCGGTGTAGACATCGTATTGCGCAGCAACTTTTTAAAAGAACTGTTGGAGGAAAAAAATAAAAAGATAACGAAATACGGTCACTGCAATAACTTTCTTGGCGTCCAACACATCAAAAGGCAACGAGCGTGCGAAGTAAAAAGCCTGGCGTTTTTACTTAACACCTGGATCATTCCATTAAAGAATAAAGGGGGCTTGCCACAGAGTGGGGGTGAGTCGCACGCAAGCTGCCACATTTCCTGAAGTGTACGACTATCATTCCGTTGTGAAAGCTGTTATAATTATTGAAATAATAATTTAGACAGATTAATATAATATTATTGCCATGGGAACTCTGTGAAAAGTTTTCTGCTTAAATCACATCCCTGCAAAGTAACAGCTATTTGTAAATGCAAAGTTCCGATTTAATGAAAGGGAGCATACCTATAGACTTTCACTCAACCGTGAACAATGGATGGGAGAAATCATTATAAATATGCAAATTAGTTACGACATTGTTGGGGAGTTGGCGTGGATTTCTGGACTTATCACAGGACTTAATCGATTACCAATGTTTGTAATATATTTCCGTATTATCTGCTATCAGATTGTTAGAACCACGTATAGCAATTTGTAAAGTTATTGGAATGAGAAGCACTACAATACACGATAGATTATCGAGACTTCTGGGGCTCCAGTCGACCTGATTTATAGTGTTTAACTAGTTTTCAATTGTAACCGTATTATTCATACAGGGTCGGATTTGCGAATATTATTGGAAAATGGGCCAGTTTCTTAGCACCGTTGTACTTTTTAATGAGTTTATCGTCATTAAAACTGTCATAGCACAAAAACGAGTACCAAAAAACAAACACCCTGGAGTCTGTTCAGATTTGAACGAATAGGGGTCGACCATTTAAAATTATAGGAGTGGGCGATATATTGCAGATTTTCATACTGATACAGCCACTCCCATGATTTCAAATGACTGGCCCCTAAGTCAATATTGAAGTGTTCAGGCCCAGGCCACCCGAGTCGTTGAGGCAAAGTGCACCCAATGACACCTGCAACAGAAATCAATAAAACGTGCCTCTCCGTGATTAAAGGACTTTCTCGTTCGAAAAGTGACGTGGGTGCGAGTGTTGATTTCTTGGGGAAAAATGCACACCGACTGTATCAAAATGTGAATACAATATTTATTTATTTATTTATTTATTTATTTGTTTTGTGTTCTTTCCTGGTTTCACTACTCTCAACTGTGGGGGCTACCTCATCATACTAATCACAATCATATCCGGGTCAAAGCTCGGCATTCAACCAATCACCATCACATCCGGGTCAAAGCTCAGCATTCAACCAATCACAATCACATCCGGGTCAAATCTCAGCATTCAACCAATCACAACTACATCCGGACCAAAGCTAAACTATCCCATTGATGGTAGCATAGAATCCATACAAATAGCTGCACATAAGGCCTGATGCGAGTAATATCTCATTGTTCTACTTGTTATAGACTGCTCCTAACTAGTTACGAGGAAAGAAGAAACATCTTATTTCCCATGCAGATTTATGCGCATGTGGGGCATTATTTTTTTGGAAATATCTATTAAGTACAACGATTCCGGAAATGACGTAATTTTTACTATCATAATGTCACTTCGTCTTTTTTAAGACAGATATTCCCCTCAAACAGGGTCGATGTTTTGAATTCGGGCGACAGATTACCACATATTTATTTTTCAGGCTCCGTAACGGACCTACAGGGCTTGTTAACACGCAGATTAATGCTACCGGAGTAACGAGCGTGCCCGACTCCGGGGAGTAGGTCTAAGAATGGATTTGAGTACACTGAGTAATTGGTGTATTCCCAGAAGTGAACTTTACACAAAATAACCACCATGGCCAACCAGTATCCAAGGTAACCAGTTCGTTCGTGACTGCATGAAATAAATGTGTCTACAATCAGATAACTATAGAACGCTTTCTGATGTTTACGTTGTTGTGGTGTCCCAGTGCTATTGTGTCGTCTGTATAACCATCTTATATTGATGTAATCACCCGAATGAAGTGTGCCGGACCCGACCACCAAGGCCATTTTACGCAAACATTGTTGCCCGCCCTAGATCTCTTTCAAATCACCCTGCCCCAGGCTTCTATTGCTATTGATTTGGAGTCGATGCAAAGCACTTACAAAAGCGCGTATGATTGGCTACCCAACCCTAAAACTTGACAATCAGACCAATTAGACAGCAGCTTATTTGTTGACAGTATACATGTATAAAAATCGATTGACGTGTGCTGCACCGAATAGGCGATGGTCGTCGCGCCACGCATGCGCGAAATATGGGTCTCATATGGAAAGATGGCGGCGTTGACTGTTGCGCAGACCAACGAGTACAAACTGAGAGGTTACCAAACTTTGATTATGTTATTGCTTCGGTGATTGGAAGGTATTGTAGAAGTCACCGGCGGTAATTAGTGTGAGTTGCGTTGCGCCTTGTCTAAGGTCAGAACACATACTCGTGATTCCATTAGAAGAGCGCACTGGATTGTGGGAATATCATTGCTAATAACACAAATGTCGCACATGCGCGGCGCGACGACCACCGCCCTTGAAGTTCGATATTTGAAATTTTCCTTAGTGTATTTCGTAAAGTTGCCACCAAAAATGATTAGAAAGTATACCGGCCGAATGATGCACACGATAACCTAAGTTATTTGGCACACACACACAAAATGACAACTCGAGACGAGACAGAAGAGACAGTTTTGTGACGTCACCAGGACACCACCGCAATGCTTTGTACATGTAAGTTCAATAAACGAACTTCATCATCCATCATGACATTACCTTTGCAGCAACATTCGTAATACCGAGCAACACCGAGATAATCTAAATGGTACATTGCTAAACGCACCCCAGGATACTGTCGTTTTTATAGAACCGAGGCGAAAGCGAGACGTGCCACCCCGCAGAATACGAAAGATCAAAACTAGGCCCACCGAGTACCTTCCCCAGTTTATTGACAAAGACAACAGATTAACATTGTCCATCCACCATAGCAACGGTACATCACGCACAAGAATTAACAAAACTCTCAATGGGGAGTCCTGAATGGCCCTACGAGTGACCCGACCCGACCCGATCCTGTATTTGTAAGAACTTGAAAACCACTCACATCATACGATACCATGGGGACATTTCGCGAGATTGGATAAACTCCTCCGAGTCCACAGGTCGGTGACGTAGATCGGCATCATATGTACGTTGCTGGGGGTCCGCATTTAAAGCGCGGTGGTCGTCTCGCAGCGAGTGTTTGAATTTCATGTAAATAAACAATGTATTTTACACGCGCAGTATACGTCGTTATGAGTCCCATATCAAACAGGACGCGGCACGACGACTGCCGCCCTTTACAGTGTGCGAGAATTGAGTTTTAAGCAAAGTAATAACGCACACTAAAAATGCAAAGGCTCTTGGGTAGACGCTTGTTTGTAAACAACGACACGCTATGGCCGTCTGCCGCATGCGCAGGTGACGACTCCCACTATGGATAGCACACCAGTAATACTGTAGAATACTTTATTTGCGGCTTGGAATTAATTTTCACTATTTTCGCTGAAGGAATGATTCAGTGAAACTAAAATCCAGCGAATATATATATTTTTTTCTATATTTGTCAAAAATCAGTGAAAATAAATTCCATACAAAATACCCAAAAATTAATTCGAGCTAAAATAAAGTATATTAGTACATTTGCTCTTTGCGCGAAATCTACAACTTAAATAAATATATATTTGTTTTTTGAATAAGTATTTAATTTAATTTATTTTATTTTATTTTATTTTATAGTAATAATTATTCATTATAAATATATATTATACAGTTTTGGCAATCGAAAAAATATTTCAAAATACAAGGATTATAATTACTTTGTTTTGGACATGCGCACTACGGGTGAATGAAATAATTAACTACGCGCATGCGTACACGTATTACACGTGACGTATACATAGTGCATTTGAAAAATGCCGGAATATGACATAATTCGGTACTTCGTCTTGGGTTGAAACACGATTTGTAGTGTAACTGCGTCTGTGCAAAGTCTCAGCCATTGGAGGACATTCTGCGAGAATGAAATAATCAGAACAGCACTGAAAAGACAGGGAACCATGATGGCCGCCAACGTTCTGGCAGAACAAGACACTTTTATTTTCCGCTTTTGCACAGAGGCAGCTGTACTACATATTTGGTTCAAAGCCAAGATGAAGTACATTCACGGGATTCAATTAATACACGGCGAAGAACTCAACAAAGACATTTCAATTAACTTTTCGTGTTCAATCGACCAAATGACACACTTCCATGGGGTTAGTGGGCGCAATAATTCCAGCGTCACGTGATCACGACCTTCCCTTTTGTATGAAAAGGTCAAATTTCAGAAATATGTAACAAGAACAGATGAAGAATAGTAACTCTTTTTTGGGGGGAGGGGTCGAAATAAAGTTTAACTTTTGGCTCTAGCCAAGTACGTTTTCGATTCGAAACGAGGAATTACAATTTTCAAAAATTCAAAATGGCCGTCGCGGGGTGTCAAGGTTATGTGGAAATCGGATGATCTTTGTTGACGTGAAAACATATAAAGGGAATCCGTACCAACATTTTGTCGCGTGATGCAAATAAATGCTCAGTTGTAGGAACTACAAGTTTTGAACCATTCCACCACTACTGCCACTTTCCGTAAAAGTAGTTCCGGTTATTAGCTTCTTCAAATTGAGGAGGGGTACAGTATATACGAAACTTGTGTATCACATATTTTTTGGATTTTAGGATTAGTTATCGACGAATTAAAATATTCGTACTTTCGGCAGATTGGAACACGTAACCTTGTCCGTGGTTGGTCGTAACTAAGGTTGCCATAGTGACTGTAACACTTAGGCCGGGACAAGTGCAATATTTGTTGTCATCACAACATTGTTCTTATTCTGGCCTGAGCGTCCCCAGACATGTTATGAGTATTATGACGTCACCGGGAATCGAACAAGCTAAACCAAACTGAAATAGGTACGATGCAGACCTAACCACCATACTTTTCACTCAAACCAAGGCGCATCAACCAAGACGTATACTGTTGTGAAAAGACGATTTGTAGATTCCAAGTGCACGTGATAGTATTTTAAAATGTGTTTGATTCTTAAGAGAGACGTCAATGTATTTTTATAAGTCATGCGCTCTTTGGAGATGCCGAGGCTAATATTATTCCTGTGACTGGAGAGATACCTCGCCGTAAAAATACCGATATCGCCAACAAGACGAAAGCCAAACTGTTGGGCCAATTTTGCGAAAATGGAAAAGTGGACATCGAGAATCACTTATTGGTATGTGAAAATTATCATAGTTTATATATTTTAGCATAAAATAAATACTTTAATGAATTTGCTTTTTATTGCATTGAACGTGCCTCCTTATTAGTCCTCATTTGCATACAAGTACTTGCCTTATGACGTCACGAAGGGACATTGCTGCGCAGCCGCGTAGACGTGGGAGTCGGACTGTGCCTAAGACACGGGGGTGTGGTTTGGGAAACACTCCTGGCTCCAATTCCTGTTCACAAATCTAAAGTAAACTTCTTTTAACAAATCTGAGCCGAAAAATTCTACGCTGTATTATGCACGTAGTATAGTTACAATTCGATTGAATAACGAAAATTCAAACCAAGTTATTTTCTTATCAGTACTATTTGTTGGGTTAATTTTTTAATAATATTTCATGGGAACGTATATTAAGATTACATCCCAACTTCGCCATACAGTACTTCTAAAAAAAGCCATTGGATAAGGTTGAATGCAATTCTCCTCAGATGAAAAGGTCGTGATCCAAAAAGCAATTTGAAATGAAAAAGATAAATTACTGGTTCTGTGCGTCGGCAGAATAATGAGTTTTTCTGCTACTTACGGAATGGAAACGGAAGTATTTTAAAATGATCCTAATGCAACGCCGGTAACTAGAAAGTTGTTCTAGTTTCTGGTACACTATTTAAAAATAAATAAAACACTGGTTATCCCTTAGATATATGGAAATTCGAACTGAGTCCCCCTGCCCCGATGATCTCCACCAAAAAACTTGGTTAGCGAAGCATTGAAATATGAGCAAGGATTCTTTGCAATCAATAAATCGGTCATAACACTGATCAAACTCGCACAAGTTGGATTGCACCACGTGTTCCGGTCATCGAACCTCGAGTTCAGTAGTGCGATCGTTAACGCGAATTAAATTTTAGTTTTAGAGTTTTAGACACCCAGAATTCATTCACAAAAATGGGCGTGGTGTGGCACGGAACTGGGAGATAAAGGAGGGGTTACTAACATTCTTCCACACATAAGAACGCAGCGGGGACTGCACGTATCCAAATCAGCCCATCCCCAGGTTCCGATATGAAAACCATCGACGCCTCCCTTAAGAATCAAACACATAGAGACGCGTTAAATAGAGTGCTGGCAATTAAACAACTTTCGCTGAAAGAGGTGAAGGACGGGCATGACAACAGGGGATATAATATAATACAAACAACAAATAACAGTTCCCCATTGAATTCGTGGTTATTGTATGTGTACACATTTTCCCCGGGCCTGGAACTGTCATCTTTATGAAAGTATTTCAATCTGCTTGCTAATTATATTTTTTTTAGTGACGGAAACGCAAAATTGGAGGACTCTTCTCGCAGTATTCCGAATTGGGTTTGACCCATTTCAATCGAAACTCTGGAAGAAATAATATGATGCAATATTTACCCAAGTGTAAAGGATTCCACCAAATAGGGTAGGCTGCAGTTGTTTTGAATACACGTCTTGGATAAGGAGAAGATAAAAATAAAATTGTTCGATAAATGTATCATGTGAAAGAATTAGGGAATTTTTAATATCAGCAAGTTATCATCAATAATTAACAACAATAATTGAAAAAAACCCATAAAATACATTCCTCAAGACCCATTGAAGGGCACACAACAATAATTCACGCGATACAACACAGTTCACGCGATACAACACAGTGCGCGCGATACAACATAGCTCACGCAATACAACACAGTTCACGCAATACAACACAGCTCACGCGATACAACACAGATCGCGCGATACAACACAGCTCACGCGATACAACACAGATCGCGCGATACAACACAGCTCACGCGATACAACACAGATCGCGCGATACAACACAGCTCACGCGATACAACACAGTACACGCGATACAACACAGTTCACGCATACATATACATACACGCAGTTGATTCTTCATCATCACCGTCACGTCAACTTTATATCGCATTGACTACGAGTAATCTCTACCACGTGACAGGGATATGTTGGATACTTTAACAATTTATCCTATTATGACGGAGAAAGGGAACTGTGAATTCAACAGGACATTTCACTATAAATTGAAATTGAAATATTGAGTAAATTTTACTATGCAGAATTTCAAACCGTCAAATTTGAGAGCACTGCCCACTACTCAGTACTACCGAACACAGTAACTCTGTGTGGTGGGAACTGTGTACCGAACTATAATATTCGACGAAAGCGAAGCCCACTAATTCAGATTTAAATTTGTTCAGACTGCTTGCTATATATGGAGACAATGAATGAGGAATAGGTTGAACCACTGAACCGTGTTAACTGCATATCCCAACTAACGGTGGCCTATTGTTAAAGAAGACGGAGTGGGAGAGTTCATCGACGAATTTAAGGGCGGA